ATTATTTTTACCCAACCATCAGGTGCATTCTTGATTTTTTAACTTGATAAATTTACTTTTTGGGGGGTGAAATTAAAATGATTAAATGGCGCACGACAAAGTGTCGACCGTCTTGTTTTTGCACCACACTGATAGTTTTTTCTAGTACATTTTAAAATGAATTTAGTCATGCTCTAAGATTACGATCCAGGTAGAGAAACATGCCAGCAGGACTAAACCATCATTCTCAGTGCTTTTAACCGCCGACGTCCTTCAGAATTACAGGACTTATTAAAAGGACCATTAGCTAAAGTGCCTGGACTCCTGTATAGGTGCTAACACCAGGATGTAAGCCGGCTTCAACCTTGATCTATAATTTGAGAAAGTGACAGTGATGGATAACCCAAGGAGAGGCCAGAGAGAAGATAGCCAGGAAAAAGGAATGGCTTCAGGCAAAACTCGGACGGATAAAAGCCACAATGGGAAAGAAAACATTAGCGTGGAGTAGGATGTGAGAAATCAACGTACCCCACTCTCCTCCTAAAGGAGCACTGTAGATGGGATTACGCCGCCACCAGAACCAAGGAAACAGGAAGAGAGAATGTGGCGATGCATGGAAAGAGAGCGGGTGCTGACCTACTTTGGATGGGAATTTTAATACAGCATCTGAATCAGCAAACGACCAGACAGGAGAAGAAGAAAAAGCCTCTTTAAAGACTATACCTTTGTTTCACAGATGCTCTTTGAAAAAGTCACCTGATCAATCCCTTTAAAGCATTTGTCCGCGTGAGGTCCTAATAAGAAACAACAATATGAAAAACATCCGTCTTGTGCCGTGGCATGTGTGAAGCCTTCAGCCTTTAGATTTCATCTCCATTCCTCCATTGCCAGCACAGAAATCCCTAATCCGTTTATAATTTCATGTCATATATTTTACAGGACAGGAGATTAATAAACGAGGAGAAACGAAGGTCAGAGAAACAAATATTGACCGCAGGAATGAGGAGAGACGTGCGGCTGCGGAGCTTTGTTGAGTTTGATGGATACGACATGGAGCTAAACAGTCACGCATTTTAATCTCAGCATTCTGTATGAACACACACACACACACGCGCACACACACACACACACACACACACACACACACACACACACACACACACACACACACACACACACACACACACACACACACACACACACACACACACACACACACACACACACACACAGACGTCATTTACCCCACTATGGACGTCTTGCGTGAACTTTATGAGGCCAGGGATTTTTCACACTCTTGTCTTCTAATATTTATACGACTGCTGCAACACCAGAGCCAGCGTTCATGTTTTATTTCTTAGTTCTAAATCAGCAAAAAAGAACAGAAATTATGCAACTGTAGATTTTTCACGTCAACATCAGCTCTCATTTTCACTGGAGTGGGTTGCTTCTTCATGCATGCTGTGAGTTTTACCCCCTTTGTTGTGTTTTGAACACCTGGCTCTTATCAGCTTGACTCACTCTACACCCCCAGACTTAGGCTGCCAGCTTGTCTTTGTTTTGTTGAGCTGTTCAGATGTTTTTTTGTCTTAATGAATCCGTGCCATTTGCAAGCTTGTGCATCAGTCTGGCAACTCTTTTGTTGCGCTATTGTTTTTGCACCATGGATACTGCCCTTCTTCCTGCTCCCTGTCAGACAAAATGTGCTTGATCTTTTTCTTTTATGCGTTTATTTTCTTTTTTACCAGTTTGATTCTAGATTTGGGATTTCCACCCAGTCCACTCATTGCAGCATTCTACTGAAACTGCCAGCTTCTGTTAAATGATCTAGATCGTGTGTTTAGACGAGGGATGGTGTTGAAAAGTGTTAAAGTTACTTCCATTTGGACCTACGCTCTCTCTGCCTTTGCATCTTTCTTTTGCAGTGAATGAAAATTTATACCTCGCTCTTTCCCCATTTTGGGGGATTTCCGGTCAAATCTTTGATTTTCTGCTGACCTGTTTTGGTAAAACGCATCATGTTTTTCCTCTCAGATCGGAGAGAGGATGAAGTAGAGGCAGAGGAACAGTACAGGCCAGGGTGTGCTCACTCCAGATGAGTCACCGAACATTGTGAACTCACTCCCATTAGCACGCACACAAGTCCTGCCACACTCGGTAATTATAAAGGATAGGCAAAAACCAGCAATGTTCTATGAATGTTCTGCAAAAACCACAAGCAGTAAAACCTTGATTATCTAATCAGAAACAAATGTTGTTCAGCTTTTCTTTCATTCCAAAAGGTGGACAGAGTCAACAATATATGCACACATAATTAAAGGTGTGGATCACTTGTATAATTAATACATTTGCAGTGGTCTCTGGCAGGAAGGGATTTCTTGTATGTCATTTTCAGGGGAAACAAATGTACCGGTGCACCATTTCCAGGAACTAGTAAGTAAATTTATTTATTTATTTACCTAGTAGTAGTGAGCCAGAAAACAGCTGAAATTCAGACAGAAGGTTTTAGAGTCTTACTACCTGATAATTGGACATCTCATCTCTGATTGGATAACAGCAACGGGAGTGTGCCACTGACATGCAACGTTGATGTATTACCTCCACAAATAACACAAGCCTGGAGGAGTTCTGCCGTGTGGTGAAGTTGCTAATGCTAACGGTTAGCTTCTATAGTTGAGACGGCCTCCCCCACCGTGACCCAAGATGGGTGAGTCCATGAATGTTAAGTCACAGTGTGACGTGGATCAGTCGGACGTTTCAGATCCTAGAGTCAGAAGCTAATGCAGGAGATAGGTGTAGGAGACTATTTTGTGTTCGGTCTTTGTGGTCAGTCTGCATGAACATGCATGAAGAACATTTAAAAATGGGTTTTCAGTCAACTACTTCTTCAAAAATCTCACTGAGATTAACTGCTGCTTTAATCCTGGACACACTAGTCTGTGCATGTGAGCATTTACACGTCTCAGATCACCCAACTAAAGCAGCAGGGAGGAGACAGAGAGAGTGTTCATGCTCCGCCTGCATGAAAAACTCAGAGTGATCAAATACAATCAGAAATGACCATTTAAAACGGTTCTTTAGTGTCCCACTCTGTTCACCTTCTTCTCCACATTTGTTTTTCAGCTATTAGAAAATTTGACGGCACTAAGAATATTTATAGTAGTGAAAGTAAGCTGGTGTTTGCATTACATCACTGCTAACACACACACACACACGTCTAAGGACTTGTTTTCTCTCACCACATGTGAGATCCTTTTCCACGTGCATTTAGCAGACTAATGCAATCAGCTCAAACACTCTCCATCCTGCATCGAGCAGCCTAATGTGGAAACTTTAACGGTGCAGGAAAAAAAAACACCACAGCTCATCACCGTGATTGAGGGACTAGATGCAATAGAGGCGAAAATGAACATCAGCAACTTTCTCCGTGAAAGAGGATCTAACCGAGCTAAAGCTCCGTCTGAGTGGAGACGAGAGTGATGTCATTCCTGCAATCGATGGAGCCATGAGCCCACTTGATGTGATTTCTGCTAAATTTATTAGCGTCATTCACCACAGGAGCCTTAGGGGGTGAAACCAAGCAGCAGCGGGGAGGAGGCTAACACCGGGTCTCCTCCACACGCCCCTCTACATGCACTTTATTTTTTCTGTTGGAGAACAAATAAATGTTGATCAAACCCTTATTTTGAAATCACAACAAGCAAAATAAGAAAGCGGGGTTCATCAGAACGATCTGTAAAAGACAAAGATGTGTCTCTCAACTGGATACACGATAGTTGAAGGTTTATGTCAGCCTCAAAGTCTTATAAATAAGAGATGACCCCATCAGACGTCAGAGCCAGCATGGTGGAGAGACTGGGAGCTGTGGGAGGATCAAATCCACGTGAGCTCATTGTTTTGTTCCCATGTGCTGAAAAATAAAACTCTGAGTGAATGAAACAGGATTTGTGTCGGTGTGAATGTTGGCACACATCATCACATTTTAGTTTTATTTTTCCAGTCTAGCCTTTATGCGTCTGCGTTCTGTTTTTATTTGGCTTTTTCAGGAAACATATGTTTTGAAATCTATTTTATAAACACCACATTAGAATATTATGTATTTTATCCAAACTATTTGATTTATTTGATCAGTTAAAGGTTCTGGTAATCTTCTCATGTGATGAATAACATACAGAAGAGGGGAACTATCCTGGAGAGTGGCGTTCCGCCCCAGGCTGTGGTGACAGCATCGTTAGATTATCCACGCTTTTATGCAGACGTTCTGAAAAGTCAACTGATTGCTAAAATTTGTGATTTCTTTCACTTTTCATGTCCTTGAGGCCAAAGCTGTATTCTTCCCTTTTCTTTCATTTTCATGGAGTTGAAGCCTTGACAACACTGACGAAAGGTCCTGTGAAAATCAAACCAAAGTCTCAGCGGTTGCTCTTGTGTCTGAGTTTTATAAAAACAGGAGAGTTTGCAACATTTCTTCAAAACAGCTGAGTTTGGAACAGCTGGGACACAAAATGGTAACTATTTAGAGCTCTTTATGCTGGGCTGCAGACTTTCAGGAAACCTAGAAGAGAGATCAGGATATCCAGGAACGGTTCAGAAGAACAACCTAAAACACACTATTTTATTTTATTTTTTTTTAGGATTAATTAAGCTGCTGGATTGCAGATTACCTGAGAGGACAGAAATAATGCTGAGGGTTGTAGAGCTAATACCTGAGAGTCACTGTGCTGAATTAAATATGAACTCAAATGCTAAAGGTGGCCTATTAACACATCAGGCTCTGGATTAACCTCATGATAATGCAAATTTTAAACGTAAGCAATATGTGTGTGCATCATCTGAGTAGCTGATAATCAAGCCCAGGAGGGATATCTGAGAACCTTCCGTCTAACTGTCTGCTGCAACAAGCACAGAGGAAGAATGCATTCAGTTAGTTGTCGTGGTAACAGCATGGTTTCAAAATGAGGTTGCTAGGCAGAAGAAAAAAACATTTTTACAAACAGTAAAATGCAAACACTTGTTTTAGCTGCGATTCAAACTGAAATAGTTTTTATTCCTGAAACAGTCGGAGTAGAGCGACTGGTCTAGAAGATGATACAGATGCGAGTCCCCTCAGCGTCAGGCTTGATGTTGCTGTAGTGGAAAATCTTCAGCGCCACCTCGTTAGTGTCCTCCTTCTTGCCCACCTCAAACACACAAGCGAAGCAACCGTTGCCCATGTAGGCCAGGTCTGAGTGGCCGCTGGGGCCTCTGTGGATTACCCAGGGTTTGGTCCACGCCTTCGGGTCAGACGGAGACGTGTTCACGTACACTCCTAAATCGCCTCTGGTGGAGGCGCTGGCTGGGTGGGAAAAGAGCAGCCACTTGTGGGGGGTCTGGCTCCCTTCATGCGTGTCCTCCTCTTGAGCTGGAAAGGATACCACACCTCCCTGACAGCTTGAAGGCAGTTTCGGTGACTTCTGACCTCCAGGAGTGTTAAAAGTGAGTCCATTATCACTGCTGAAGGCCTCCACGCGAAGTCCTCCCTCCACAAGTGTGCTGCAGTAGATGAGCATGGCATCATTCTCCCACACCTCTGCCATTTGACAGATAGTTGACCTGTCTGAGAAGGTGGTGCCAAACTGCCAATATTCACCGTCGTCGTCGCTGTAGAGGGCGGCCATGTGAGGAACGGGCTCACCGTCGGTGCCCTCCTCCTGGATGTAAACGTGAGCCGGAACGATCAGTCTCCCGCTCTCCGTTTGCAGGCCGTGACCCGGTCCCGCAGAAAAAGCGACGCAGTTTTCTTGCAGATGTTCGGTCAAATCGTTCACTTGACTCCAGGTTTCACCGAGGTTTTCACTTGTGATGAAGCAGAGGCGAGTCTTGCTGCTCTCGGTTTCTTCCTGCGATTCGGTGTCTTCAACGCAGGTGAAAAACAAAAAGAGTTTGTCATTCTTCTGGTCGTACACTGGGCAGGGGGTGGTGGAGCGGTGTCCTTCGAGGCGCGCTTCCTCCAGAGTCCTCTTTTCCACCCACTGAAAAACAGTTCAGAAAGGTTTGGTTAAATCAAATAAGTTGTTGATGATCAGCACGAGAACAGAATATTTACCTCGACAGAGATGTTGTCAGGCGCCCTGCTCACTACTCCTCTCTTCATGACCAGCAGTCGGGACGATGCCTTAGCTGTTCCTTTTTTCCATCCAGCGAATATCAGAAGAGCCTGGCCTTTTTGCGAGAAGACGACGGCCGGCTCCTGGTATACAGAGGTTGAAAAGACAAGCTTGTTCATGGCTGGCGTGTAAAATAGTCTGGATCCGATCGCTGAAGCTTTCACGAGCGTCTCCGTTTGCAGACTGACTGACAGACTCTGCGATGCAAATTGAAAAGACGCCACCGAGTTGTTTATCGTTGTTTAAACTTTATGTTTGAACCAAAACTTGTTTTCAGAAAAGAATTCCGTTCCACTGCTTGTGTAGGAGAGGTTTCCTGACATCAGAACCGTCTTGTTACTATGATGGACATCATAACAGCTACTGTTCAAATGATGCACAACACATAGTCCGTGCATAGGAAATGTAAACACTACGTTTTCAAACAAAAACATTGTGTGTGATATATTGAAAAATCAATTTATTAATAATGCAACACCAAGTTTCACGTGTGTTGAGTTAAAGTTTGCAGCTTTGACTCATTCATATTCTGCCTGCTGACAGATCACATGGCATCTTGCAATGTTGGCAAAGATCACAGAAATCTAAAAATATCACATCAAAATGGCCTAAACTCCATTAATTCCAAAAAACATGTTTTTAGTTCAACACTAAGATGCATTAAACGGTTGTTTATGTTTACATTTGAATGTTCATGTTCACACCAACACAAAAAGCAATGAAAATGTTTATTTTGCATTTTGTTTAAGCATTTGGTGCAATGTGTGTGTGTGTGTGTGTGTGTGTGTGTATATATATGTATATATATATATATATATATATATATATATATGTGTGTGTGTGTATATATATATATATATATATATATATATATATATATATATATATATACATATATATATATATATATATATATATATATATATATATATATATATATATATATATATATACACACACACACACACACATATATAAATGTGTGTGTGTGTGTTGCTTTTGTTTGAAAAACACAATGTTACATTCTCTGTGCACTGACTTAAATGTGTGGTGCATCATTTGTACAATTTATTTAACAGATGAGTCCACTGAGAACTCATTCTCATTTTCAACAACGATCTGGCCAAGAGGCAGCAGCGACAGTCACATAGTTAGATTTACAATACAACAATAGCTGTTATGATATCTCTCATAAAACGAGACGGGTTCTGATGTCAGTAAATGTCTCCTACACACGCAGTGGAACAGGATTCTTCTCTGAAAACAAGTTTTGGTTCTCATATATATGAACCTTGCATCCGTGTAATGGCTGGCCTCAAGCGGAGGCTCCAGTGTCAGACTCTCCATAGCATCATCTTTATCCTCCTGCTCTGAGTTATATACGTAAAAAAAAAAAAAAATTATATATATATATGAGATCTGATATCCAAAAATCCCCTAATGCAAAAGGATTTTCTATCTTCTGTATTTTCTCAAGTTCCGTGTTTAATTTATTAGCATACAGGGAATAAATTACAGCAATAAATTATTATTATCCATCCATCCATCCATCCATTGTCTGAACCCGCTTGTCCACGGAGGGTCGCGGGGGGCTGGTGCCCATCTCCAGCGGTTAACGGGCAATCAGGCGGGCTACACCCTGGACAGAGAGCCAGTCCATCGCAGGGCAACACAGAGACACACAGGACAAACAATCATGCACACACACACACACACACACACACACACACACACACACACACACACACACACACACACACACACACACTCACACCTAAGGACAATGTAGACAGACCAATCACCCTAACAGTCATGTTTTTGTACTGTGGGAGGAAGCCGGAGTACCCGGAGAGAACCCACACATGCACAGGGAGAACATGCAAACTCCATGCAGCAAGATCCCAGGCTGGGAAGTGAACCCAGGACCTTCTTGCTGCAAGGCAACAGCTCTAGCCACTGCACAGCCTTATTATTATTATTATATTATTATAAACATATTAATAATAATAATAACAATAATAAACATTTATAATATTATTGTAAACGAAACCTCATTTATATTTATATTAATTTTTATGTTTTTTTTACATTCATGATAAAAAAGCTAGTTTGCTGTGATACTTTATATCATAACCCTTACTGTATATAAAAATGGTTTTCATTGTCTTTTGAGGGTTTTAAAGTGAAATAGTTACCGATCAATTTTGTCTGACACAAACTTTTGAAGATGGACAGAATTCTTTTGGAGTAAAGATGGAGTAAAAAATGGCCTCACTGATGACTCTGTGCTGCTATAATAAGCCAAATAGCCACCCATAAAGTGTGTTTTTATGAGGATATGCAGCTCGTTTACATGTGTGGTAAAACCGACATGTGTTTTACTTATATAACTCAGAGCAGGAGGATAAAGGTGATGCTATGGAGAGTCTGACACTGGAGCCTCCACTTGAGGCCAGCCAGAGGGTAAACATAACCAGAGATTACACGGATGCAAGGTTCGGTGGTATCCCGATGTCACCCAGAGAGTCCTGGTGATCATGGAACATGAGATTTACACCGATACAGACAAGGGACGAAGGCTTTGACTGCTCCAAAACAAACAGGTGAGGGTGAACATCAGCATCCACAGAGGTCACGGGGTTGTTGTCCTACCGTAGCAGATGTGACCCCTCCCAGCATCATGCTGGATGTGCCACGCCTCATCAAGAGCGATTACATGTGGGGGAGCAGTTTAGCAGCAGAGGCGACCTTCTCAGCAGATAACAAGTTCCCTCAAACATGTGCATTAGAGCTGATTTATGCTCCTGTGTGCACAAGGCTGGCCGATATGTTACTGATCATAAATCAGTTTATGCAAAATATCCTGATGGGAAAAGTGGTTTGATGTTTAAGGGTTTCTGGAATGAATGTCCCCTTTAGGAATTCTCCCCACTGGCGTTATCTCACCGGGCGGCTCAAGTAGCAAACCATGTCAAAAGCTACTGGCTTTGTAAATCATGTCAGATTGTTTTATGTCTAATTTTATGCCAAGGGTATATTTTACAGCTGCTACGCTTTGTGTAGATAAAACTCAATTTAAAACCAAGATAGATAGATTGGATTTGAGAAAAAAACTTTACAGTGTAGTCAATAATCAGTAAGGATGTCCAATATTATCGGTCTACTTTTAATATCGGTCGATATTGTCATTAAAATGTAATATCAGAAAATGTTGGTATTGGTTTTAATTCCTATTTTAATTGTCTTGTTCACATATTTGCTGCTGCAATGCATGTAGTACTGGAGGATTCCACTAGGGGGCACAGTAGAAAACTAAGAGCAGATAGAGTCCCGGTGTGAGGGATTTATCTCCTCACTAATAGTTATGTCTCTTGTTTCTGTTTACTCCTGTATTTCTGTGTGTTTTAGGTCAAATACTCTTGGTAATCTATAAATTACTTTAAGTTAAGTTGATCTATTGGTGTTCATCACTCCCTTCTTTCTGAGGTCATTTGTGTAAGTGTTGCCATGGAAGCGCGCCCATAGGCAGCCATGATCAGTTCCAGGTGTGCTTAATCAGCTCTACTGAGGGAGAAACCAACTGACTGAAGAGAGGGGGGGGGGGGGGGGGGGCGAGGTTATCTTGTGTTTGTTTAAGTGTAGTTGAACTTGTTCTTGTTTTTGTTCTTTTGAGTTAAGGTAGAAAGTAAATATGTAAATAGATTGACATATTTTGTTGAGATGTTGAGATGTACTTTATTGATTGCAGGGTTTCAAGCTAATTTTTTCCCCTGCCCATTTCATAATGGCTGGTTCCAAGTTAGCTTTAAAAAGGGTGGATATTCGCTACTGTTGTGGTTGATTGCTTGTTAAGGGGAATCCATGCCCCAATGTCATGGATTGTTTGCATTAAAAAAAAAAGGATAAAAAGTCAGAGCTCTGCAACATCCTGGACTCTTGTTTTTTCTTCTGTTGACGAACAGCTGGTAACATCCTGAGTGAGTGACAAGGCAGAGGCTCTGTCTGGGCCAAAACCTTACACCCGGGTTTGTGGGTTACAACCAAACAAACATGGCGTCAACGGACGAGATCAGTAACTGGTTAACTTTGAGATCCCGACAGAAAAAAGGACAGCAACGGTATTGGAAATGGTGTTAAAGACCTCTAAACCAGAGATGGAGTGACAATTGTGCTTTGCCCCCTACTGGTTACTCGTATATTACAGCTTGAGATCACATCTTGTTCATTTCAGAGAATGAGCACAAACGACGCTTCCAACAGACGCAAATTACGCAAGGCAGCCATGATAAACATGCTTACACTTTTGTAAGAGGGGGATCCCTACTTATACTGGTATGAAGGAATTTTGGAAATTAAGATTAGGACAATATTGATAAATGGGATATCGGTAAAAAAGCACATATCGAGCATCCCTAGCAATCAGTCAGTAATCATACAAGCATTTTAAGAAATGTAACACATAAGAGTCTGGTAGTCATAAAGTTATGATCCATTAGCTGTAACCTATAGCTCCTATCAGCGCTAACATCACAAAAGCCCGAAGACCAAACTTTACTGTTTCCACCTTAAAAAATGAAGATGGCATAAAACCACACAAGCATGAAAATCTCCTGCAGCAGTGAAATTTGGCCAAATCCAGCAGAAGTTCCTTGATATTTCTGCCAAAGTTGCCACCTACTGCTAAAAGTATTCGAGACATTTCAGCCAGATCGTGTTTGGTTCATTAGAACAGGTTCTCAAGCATTTACTGTATGTGTAGCACATTTTAGCAGCTACGTCTTGATTTTTGGCTTCGTGTACGCCATTAAAAAAAACTTTCAGAGACAAAAATGACGTAATGCTAATTTTTTAGTCATGGCTCACTCTTTCTGTCTCTTTTGAGCAATTTTTTTTTTGTTTGTTGCTTGATTCACCAAATGAGGGTTTGAGGCTAATATAACATCACAAGTAATTCCCATTTGTCAGCAGCTATTCAGAGATAAATAAGGTTTACAGTGTTTCTTCATCTCTGATGTGGACCGTGGAGGTCCAGAACAACGTAGCGTGGCTGCACAAAGACACAATGAACACTGGTTTGCTCCTTCGGGAGCTACGGCGATTGGTGACATCATTCAGTCTCTCGCTGAGATAGCGCACCATCAACACTCATGCACAAGCAAAAATATTCTAGGCTGCCATTTCTGAAAGGCTCTAGATCCAAGAGAAGTTTCTCAC